TCCCCAGAGTTGTCTTCTCTAACACAGTCCTCAAACTCCGGAATAACCAGACTAAACTTAGTTATGGGTCCTTGGTTACGTAAAAGAAACTGGTAGAGGAACAGCAAGAACTTCATAGTTCTCTTGTTTGCCTCAAATTCTTGCAATCTCTCTGTTTCTTGCTACAATGTAACATCAAATATCAGATGAGGTAGTTTAACCCATTTATACCTCCATTGCTTTGATAAGATACTTGTCTTTGCAGCATCACGTGTTGTCAAACACATTAGAATGTCATCACTAGTGTGTTAGACATTAGAAAGTACAAGAGTATTGATCACACCACGTGGCATGTGTAACACGACTCCCTCAACTGTTGGATATTTGAAAACAACATATATAAAACATGATATGCCACATAAAGTATATATTGGACACTAGCAATCTACCTAGGATGAGTGTTTGCGCGCATCACAGTTGGTTACGTTATTCAATCAGTCGATCCCTAATTGGTTTAAATGTGGAAACTGAGTGCTAACAGTGTAGTTTTTATTGTGTGTTATGAGAAATCTGTTGTATATGGGTTAGGCACAAAAATTTATATGCACTTGTGTGGATGGGGTGTTTCTCCTTTGTGGGTCCCCGGCCGATCGATGAAGGGTTGTGTCTAATATCATTGGGCCTACAAAAGAAGAACGTTGATGTGATGAAATAGTGGAAGATCTTCCCAAAATAACCTTTGACCAATTAATAATAATAAAATAATAATAAAAGGTTGAAATAGGAGTTAGAAAAGGAAAGGCGAAAAATACCCTGAAGGAGAAAAGAAAAAAATTCTCTCACAGTCCATCCAGTCGAAACAGTCGACCAACACCGACCACAATAATCTAGTGACCAACGCCGAGCACCATAGAAAGAACCATGTTACCGGCGAAAAAACAAGATTAGTTTTGGTAGACTATGAAATGAATTTTTCATATAAGGTGTAGATGATAAATTTGATTAAGTTTGACATTTATTCAGCTTATTTGTTGATTATTAAATTTTTGGGTTGGAGATCACTGGAAATGGCGATCTCTGGTAGGACAGTTGCAAGTTGGACTATTAACAGTCAGCCCAACAGTCGTTCGACCCCTTTTTTTTTTTTTCATTTTACACATTGAACGGCCATTGTGGTGAATAGTTAAAAAATTGGTCAAAGTGGAAAATGACCATGTTGACGTGGCCAATTTGAAAAGTATCCCATGTTGATGCAAGCAGAACAGTTGGATCTGCGATGTCATCTTAGCCAACTTGATATCTATAAATAAAGGGCTCATCCTGTCTATTTTCATTCTTTCAACATCCAACAACCCCCACGCTCATCTTCTCTCTAGCCACAACTTTTCTCTCTATATCATCTATTGCCATTCGCAAAGAAGATCAACTGATTTGAGATGAATCTAGAGCAACTAACACTATTAATTCAAGTGGCAACCAAAGTCGCGCTTCGTGAATGTGATTTATCTATGAGGAAATTATACCTAGGTAGGTTTTTAGAATATCAATTTCACAAATCAGGTCACTACTTTAACTTTTCAAAAAACAGGTTTTATTTTATTTTATTAAATATTAATTATATTAAACCTAATCAAACCTAAATTTCCCAAATTCATTTTTCTTCATCCGTCCATTTTCTCTCACTGTTCTTCTCCTTCCACCGCCACCATCTTCTCTCCACTCTCTCCACACACGGCGTCACCACAACCTCCACTCCTCGCCGCCTCCACCATCTCTCACCCATTCCTCCCTCTTCTCTGTGAAGCCATCGCCGCCGTCTCCTCTCTTCCCTCTGTTCTGCCAACCGCCGTCGTCTCCTCTCGTCTTTGCGTAGCAGTTCGAGGCAGCGTTGACCGGCCCAGTTCACGGCAGCGTCAACGCTGCTGTTCGCGACGTCGCTGTTGCAGTTTGCAGCAGGGATCTCGCAACAACAGCAGCGTCGACGCTGCCCAGTTCGCGGTAGCGTCGACACTGCTCGTTCGCAACGTCGTTGCTGTATTTTGCAGCAGCGATCTTGCAGTAGATCCGTTGCATGGCTTTTTCACAGCAGATCCGTTGTGAATGGTAGTGGTTATTGTGGTTTTTGATTGTTTTTATCACATATCCGTTGTATTTTTGTGGTTTTTGTGCACAGATCCGGCGGCGATGGTGGTGTTTTGTGTGGTTGAATGCGTCAGTGGTGGTAGTGTTTTTGTGTGGTGGTAGTGGTGTTTTGTGTGAGGTGGTGGTTGTTGCGACGGTGGTGTTGATACTGGTTGCCGTGAGGTGGTGGCAGGGGCGGCGACGGTAGTGGTTATTATTAGTGGTATGCGACCAAGTATTTGGTTAATTATGACCAAAAAATTATTTATTTGTGACCTAAAAATTATTAATTGTGCCAATAAATTGATAAATTGTGACCTAAATAAGTATTGTGACTTATAAATTTTGGGATCTGTGATCGATGAACAAATTGTGACTTTTAGATTTCTAAGTTATGACCAATAAACAAATTATGACATATGAAAATTTTGAATTGTGACCTAAAATTTTTTGAATTGTGGCCAAATTGTATAGATCTGTGACTTTAACATATTCGCCGGAATCGGACCAGTCGTCGAAAAAGTCTTCGGAACAGTCGCTAGAGAAGAGTGGTGACCGGAATGGTCACCGGAATAGCCCCGGAGTTGTAGGGTTGGTGGAGGTGGGGATGGGTTAATTATTTTANTAAATTTTGGGATCTGTGATCGATGAACAAATTGTGACTTTTAGATTTCTAAGTTGTGACCAATAAACAAATTGTGACATATGAAAATTTTGAATTGTGACCTAAAATTTTTTGAATTGTGGCCAAATTGTATAGATCTGTGACTTTAACATATTCGCCGGAATCGGACCAGTTGTCGAAAAAGTTTTCGGAACGGTCGCTAGAGAAGAGTGGTGATAGGAATGGTCACCGGAATAGCCCCGAAGTTGTAGGGGTGGTGGAGGTGGGGATGGGTTAATTATTTTATAGTGGAATTAAATATTAATAATAAATTAATTTAATAATTATTATTTCATATTAAAAATTTAAAGAAACCTGATTTTTGAAATTTAAAATATGTTTTGGTATTTTTGAAATGGGTAAAAGTGAAAGCCTTATTTATGTATTCTTCACTCACCCCACTGTGCATGTGAGTGGCCCGTGAATTTCACGGGCTGTACTTGTATCGTCTCTCTTTA